TAATGGGGAAATATTTATTAAATATTTTAAATTCTTCATTGAAGCATTCACAACGGATGGAAGCAGAATTGTATTTGTCATGGACAATGCTTCAGTCCACAAAGATGACATTGTTCAACTTGCAGAAGACAGAGGGTGCAAAGTGTTGTTCAATGCGCCTTACTCACCAGAGTGCAACCCTATAGAAAACGTATTTGGAATATGGAAAGTCCGAGTTGGAAAATTGAATAATGTGACTATAGCAGATATGATTGAAAACATCTCAAAGTGTTTTGATGAAATTAGTCCAATTGAAATAAGACGAATTGTAATGAATTTTATTAATATTGTTTCTGTGAAAGTTTTTGCAATGGAAGATCTTTAACTGGTTTTTAATTGTTTGTGTTTATTGTTTTGAGAATTCAAACACAGTTTTGAAACAAATAATTAAAAATTTGAAACAAAAAAACAAGTTTTTTCAACAATTAGTCATAATTATTGTAAAATAAATCATTTAATGAAACAATTATTCATTAATTTGAAACAATTAATTATTGTTTTGAAACGGTGTTGATTAAAGGTACATTTTTATCATTATTTTGAAAAATAACATTATAATTTTGAAAAAATTATTAAACAAAATGAAACTAACTGTATCATAAAATGATAAATACAATTCAAAACATTAAAATAATTATCTTGTTTATTAAATTTATATCATGTTTAGTATTTAGACAACACCACAACTATTATGATTAATTTAACAGTTGTGCCTTTATTAATATTTAATTATCAACAATTTTAAGTTCTGACTCGTGGATCACACATACGTGCATATATAATATTAAAATCGATTTCCTGTGGTCCAAGGGTTAACAAAGAAACCGTAATAATTGTATGTAATTATTTGTGTTTTATGCATGACTGTATATTTGTGTTTAAACAAGCCAATGACAAGTGGGTTGCTCTTAAAATAAACTCGTTAATGATAAGTTTACATACATAAAAACATAACAAACTGTTTAAATGTGTTACAAATTAATATGAGTTCATTTTTATTTGAATTTAAAAAATTAAAATCAAACTAAAACGATTCGAAATGTTGAAAATATAACAAGGAAAAACAAAAAGAGAAAAAATGTAATACAAAATCGAGCAGAAAATGATGAAATAAAAGTTACAATAATTGCTATGTATAGTAAAGTTATGAGTATTTTTTTAATTGATAAAGTTGATATCACAGCGTGTGACTATTTCAACAATACTATTTTATCAAAACTATCGTCATTTTTTTGTTAAAACAACAAAATTTTTAAAAACCACAAAAAGTTAGTTAAGT